CGTTTTGTGTCCGATAATGGACAAAATTAATACTCTAAATGCATGCCAAGGCTTAAAGCAGTAACAACGCTACACATGTAAGTAAAAATAATTAAGTATCTGAACGAAGAATTCTAGTCTATTCCCAAATTTGATTGTCCTGACTAATCACCTGTTAGGCCTAATTAATTTTAGAATGTTTTAAAGTATTGCAATTGCGATGTATTTTAATATGTGATATGATGAGGCTGTTGACGAACTGTGGTTGTTTTTTAAATTAAGAATTTTTTTTTAACTATCTGTTATTTTAGAAAAACTGATGATGGAGGAAAAATACACCGGAATGTATTTTGATTAATAAATAGAGACAATAAATGACTGAAACCCAGGAATAGATTTGATTATCATTATTACCAGTTAACTTACGGGCGAGCAAGAGTGAGTGACTTAAAATCCGCATCAAAAAGGCATGAAAACGTGATGTGGGAAGGTCAGTTGATACATAATGATATGTGAATGTTTATCTATCTATCATTTGTAGCCAGTCCAAAGGAGCGGCAACTTCCCGAGGACTGGGACCACTTCCATGTGCTTCTCGAGCAACTTCTCCATCGGGTGCCCAGCTTGGGCAATGCCGTGTTGGACCGGCTGTGCAACGGGCCCGAAGCCTTCAGCCCCGATTGTAAATGGATCGTCGGCGAAGCTCCTGAGGTGAAACATTCGCTCATCCCAACTGAACTTTCACTTGAAGTTGCATGTTTTAGATTCGCAACTACCTGGTTGCGGCTGGGATGAAAACGGTCGGCATATCAGCGGCCGGTGGCGTGGGCAAAGCGACCGCCGAACTTATTGTTGACGGAGAGACCGGCTACGACATGTACGAGTTGGAAGTTTCGCGCTTTTTAGGACTGCACAACAACCGGAAATTCCTTCGGGACCGAGTGAAAGAAGGTAAATTGGGCGGATTTGAGTTGACGGGGGACTGGAGGTAGTGATTTCAGTTCCCGGGTTGCACTACGGCATGAATTACCCGTTCTCCGAGTTCCAAACTGGCCGCAACTTGAGAATGTCGCCGGTTTACCCGAAACTTCGTGAAGCAGGAGCGGTATTCGGCCAGGTGATGGGCTACGAGCGGCCGACTTGGTTCGACTTCGAAGCTATGCGAGGTTGAGCGAAGCGTCAATGGCCTGATCCCATAGGGAAACTGGTTCATTTTTTTGCAGATCATGAAGACTTCGACTGGTCAATGCCTTACAGGATAGCATACACGAACACATTTGGAAAGCCACCTTGGTTCGATTTTGTGGCCAGGGAATATGCAGCATGCCGAGAAGGCGTTGGCATCAGTGACTACTCGTCGTTTACCAAAGTGGATCTTTGGGTGAGTTTTAGTTGATTTGAACTCCCAACACTCGGTTTTTTCATGACGGTTCAGTCGAAGGGAAACGAGGTTGTCGAGGCTCTTCAGTTCGTCTGCTCTAACGATGTGGACGTTCCGGTTGGCAGTATTATTCATACTGGCATGCAGAACTCCAAGGGAGGCTACGAGAACGATTGTTCATTGGCAAGGCTTTCGCCCAATCAGTGAGTTTATTTAATCTCCACTGAGTTTTTGCATAATTTGATGAAATTTTCCATATTCCGCTCAGCTATATGATGATCGCCCCCACAATCCAACAGACGCGGTGCAAAGTGTGGTTGCAAAAGCATCTCCCGGCCACCGTGGCCATATCGGATGTAACCAGCATGTTTACAGCGCTGTGCATTATGGGGCCTTTCACTAGGACGCTGCTGTCTGAGCTTACAGACACCGACCTGGATCCAAAGCACTTTCCATTTTTCACATACAAAATGTTGGATATCGGCCTGGCTAATGGCATCCGCACCATGAATCTAACCCATACTGGCGAGCTCGGATATGTCTTGTATATACCTAACGAGGTATGTGTTGAAAATTTCAGCATTATCGCGACATGACTAGAGCGTTTTGGCTGCAGTTTGCTCTGCACGTTTACTCCAGCTTGATAAATGCGGGGGAAAAGTATGATATTACTCATGCGGGCCACTACGCCACCAGGGCGCTGCGAGTGGAGAAGTTTTACGCCTTTTGGGGGCAGGATTTGGACACCACTACGACGCCTTTAGAGTGCGGTCGAGTTTGGCGTGTAAAGTTTGATGTAAGGCCCCATTAAAGTCTGCGGTTTGTTTAGCATACAGCCGAGGTTTTGTAGAAAAAAGTCGATTTTATCGGGCGCGATGCTTTGCTAAAGCAACGGGAAGAAGGAGTAAGGAGAATGTACATTCAATTGGTGCTGGAGGACCACGACATGGAAACCGACTTGTGGCCTTGGGGTGGAGAGCCGATTTACCGCAATGGGCAGCATGTAGGAATTTGTACCACCACCGGCTACGGATTCACTTTCAAAAAACAGGTGCCCCATTGTCTTTCACTTACTCATGGGTTTCAGTACCAATGAAGTTTATTCTGTTAAAGGTTTGTCTGGGATTTGTGGAAAACATCGATGATAAGGGCGAACAGCACAAAGTGACGCACGATTTCATTAACAGTGGCCACTTTGAGGTGGACATTGCGGGGATCAGGTGCGCGCCAAGTCTTATTGAACAGCCACTTAGATAACAAGTGATGCTTTTCAGGTACCACGCTAAAGCTAATATTCATTCGCCGATTCTGCCCACGAAATATCCGGATAAGGAGCGCGATGTGTACCGAGCAACCCGAGGAAAGGGCGACGAGCAGCGCGATGCTCATCAAATAGTGAAAGCCATCTAATGGCACCTTTATTGTTGCTGATCTGTGGAATGTTCTCAAAAAATGTGTGTAAATAGAGGTAGGCGTTAAAATAAAACATATTTTGCTTAAAAAACTTGCCCGATGTTGCTTCATACCAAACATTAATTCCTAAGTTAAACAAGTAGAATGAACATGTAAGTAGACAAAGAGCAGTTGATACTAAAATACGTCAATATTAAAACAGGTTTCAACTTCTTCAGACTATCCCGAAATGCACTCAATTTCCCAGTTTGCCATCGCGTTTCAGATGCGAGTTAATGTAGTCATCAGGCGATTCAGTCGTAAACATAAATCGTTTCACTACAGTGAAAGTCGGGCTGCAGGGAACAGATACACTGCGTTCTCGTTTGTGTCGGTATTTGCGAGTTATCACTTTGCCCAGCTTGGAGGGCTGCTTGCAATTAAGCACTTGTCCCGTTAACACATTGCGGATATCCAAAGTGTAGGTCAGAGTAATCCTAGGGGGAGCTTTTCTGCGTTCTGTGCTCAGAGGAACATCCCCGTCAATAAACGGGATTTCAAAGGGCTCGCAAACAGGCTGCTTTCCTTTTGTAAAAGTTGGTAAACTGCCCGTTGCCCTCAGGGCCACTGACAAATCGATGCCTGCAGTTAAACGTTCGCTCTCTGGCTGTGTCAGCTGTAGTTCGGACAATGCCTTAGTCACTTGCTCAGTAGATTTGTTCTCTGTCTTCAAATGAGTACTCACTAGCTCAGTCAAAGAGCTAATACTCTCGTCACTGGTTTTCTGAGGGCAGTCAACAGCATCTTTCGTACCAAACAAGCTGGGGATTACAAAGGGCTTTGGGGTTACACCGTTTGAACGCGTACCAAATATGTTTGGTACCACAAAACTTTTCACATTAGCAGTCGTCGTTGTTTTGTCGCCAAGAAATTTCAATGCAGCGCATTTCAGGCTTGATGAGTTGTCCATTTTTCACGATTACACTCCTACTTTTTGGAAACTTGGAAACCTCACATCACAATATTCAAATTTGGGGCCCTGCAGGCATTAACTCATTAAAAAGACTATTTGATAGTTGCTTTGAAAGACAAGTAGGTTTACTTTGAAGAAAAAGGATAATGGTGTTGACCATAGATGAAGACCTAATCAGCCGTTGTGTCATTTTGTACGATTTGTTTACATTTACTTTTTGGCTTTAAAAATGTGTTTTAGAGACGATTTTTGGTCAAACTAACCCTATTTCACTGTAGTTGTCAAACCATTTTGATTTACAGTTTTTTGCAAGGGTGGGTTAATAAATGGGCCTAAAAATGAGTAGAAAGCTGCCACTCGTTGTAATTTTGGGGCCCACAGGGTCAGGAAAAACTAAGCTATCGCTTGAAGTGGCCACGAAGTTTGGGGGAGAAATTATAGGAGCAGACTCCATGCAGGTAAACATTTCACTTGCCTGTTTCATCTAACTGAAATTGAGGGTTTTGATGCCAGGTATACAGGGGGCTAAACATAGCATCGGCCAAGGCCACTGAAGAGGAGCAAGCTGTTGCCCCTCACCACTTAATCAACATTCTGGAACCCGATCAGTTGTTCACAGTGCTCGAATACAGAAATCGAGCTGTACCAATCATCGAAGACCTGCTTAAGTCGGATAAACTGCCAGTGGTTGTAGGAGGCACCAACTATTACATCGAATCCCTGTTGTGGAGAATCTTAGTACAAAACCCAGAGGAAAAAGTGCTCACGCAGACTGGAATGTTACCCAGCAATCAGCATGAACTGGCCAGTTCTGTGCTTCACGAGCAGCTGAAAAGGTTGGATCCTGCAATGGCCAGGCGGCTGCATCCAAACAACAAGAGGAAAATCTTGAGGTACGTCTGAACTTGGGTTTAGTTGGAGATGCTCCTTATGTAGCTTGCACTTGCAGGTCCTTGGAGATTTTACACCAACGGGGAAAAAAACACAGCGAAATCATTGACGAGCAATGCCAGACATCAATGTCCACTTCAGGGGGCGGATTACGCTACGACAATGCCGTTGTGTTCTGGCTTCAGTGCGATCAGGTTTGTTTCGTTCATAATCGATCAGTTTTATCTGTGTAGACCGCCACTAAATCCATCCATGCATAAACTCGCTATTATTTAAACAAAAGGCAGCTTTAAACACTCACTTGTTTCAGTAGGACGTCTTGAATAAAAGGCTAGACGACAGAGTGGACAAGATGATTGAAGAAGGTCTGTTGGAGGAGCTTTTGCATTTCCACAAGGTTTATAATCAGCAACGATTGCTCGAAGGCGGGTGAGTTTCCCAAGGCGTTTTTTATAAGCATTTCAAGTGCAAGTGTTGCGCGATTTATTCTAGTCCCCCCGATTACACGAAAGGAATATTCCAGTCCATAGGTTTTAAAGAGTTCCATTCCTACTTGATTCTGTCCGAGGCTGAAAAGACCTCTGAAGTAGGAAGGAAACTTTTGCAGCTCGCCATTGATGAACTAAAAATGGTCACAAGGCGCTACGCCAGGAAGCAAATCAAGTGGATGAGTAACCGGTTTTTGAGTCGAAAGGATCGGCAGGTAAATGAAACAATCGTCTTATTCATATTTAGAACTTTTGGGAAAAAGCTTGTACTTTTATCCGGGTTTTTATAAATCTAATTTTTTACACATTTTCAATTGTTAAGGCAAGATCTCGGAGCTGACTTCTCCAGACACAAATTCAAAGCCCGCAGTACATTCTATTATACCAAAAACAAATTGTTTTCGATTCTAAACGATGCAAAAATAAACACAACACACAACATTGTCCAGGTGCCGCCGATATACGCTCTGGACACCAGCGACGTGGCGCAATGGACGCAAAAGGTCACCAATCCGGCTTTTCGCATTGTGGAGAGCCACATTTGCGGAACCCTCAGCACCATCGAGCCTCTGCCTATGCGAGACACCGTTTCCGTTCCCAATTTGCTGGATGACTCCTATCTCTGCGAAGTCTGCAACCGAATTTTCGTAGGAAAGCACCAACGGGACATTCACATGAATAGTCGCAAGCACAGAAAGATCCTTGCAAACAAAGCCAAACAGCAGAAATTGTCTTTGGCAAGTAACGAAGAAGCATGTGGAAGGTAGTGAAATAAAACACCCATAAAGCGCTCTTTATAAAGGTTTATTTTTGGTCAAATTTGGAACGTTTACTACATTGTACAGTTTGCGCGCCATCATCTTGTATCGTACCAGCATTTTGTTCTTCATCTTCCCGGGAATGACCATCAGCGTGGTGATGGAATTGCCAATGAAAAACACCGACATGAACAAACACATCGCCAGCACATGCCACGATGCATCCGGATGGTGATTGTACAGCTCGTACAGGGTGTAGGCGTTGACTAGCTGGTACAAGTAAGAGCCGAACAGGAAGGGGTAGAGAAAGGTCAATCCTCTCCACATCCAGTGCTGGAAGCCTTCCACGGTGATCTCCATGTTGCCCTTCATCCCCAAAGCCCGCATCCGATACAATGCGCCGCGCTGATAATTAAACTGCAAGTACTGCACCAAACAGTTGTACAAGCTGTACCGGAAGAACTGTGCCCTGAAAGTGTCCCAGGTGTCGTTCTCCGGCCAGACGAGTAGGACAATAGCCGCAAACACCGACAACCCATGATGGATCCTCCACCACGCCTTGATTTTTGAGCCGTTCGCTCTCAGCACGCTTTCGCGTATCGTTAATGTACAGTAGTACCACACCAGGAAGAACAAGTACAGTTTTTGCAGAAACCTGGACGTCAGTGACATGTTGAGGAGCAACAGAACCGCGGCTATGATGATACATACAAGTTTGAATTTTTCGTACGAGTCTTTGTACTTGAACTTGACCTCTTGGCCCAGGAAACCAACGTTAATGTTCCCCAGTATGATTTTCAGGTACAACCCGCCTTGATGGGGCAAAGTCTCTTCGATCAGTTGCAGTTGGGCCTCCCGTTTTAGGCTCTCATTCCGAATTTCTCTCAGCCTTTCGGTACTGATCTCTGTCTTCAAGCCCGCATTAATCGCCTTCAGTCTGTATCTCTGATGGCCGATTTGTGCCAGGAAGCTGCTCTGCTGGCTGGTGATCTCCTTCAGCCTCCTCAAGTAGACCTGGTGCGCCTCCTCTAGCTTTTTGTACTCCACCTCGAGCTCCTCCCATTGCACTTCCACACTGTCTTCCATTTCACTACAGCTAAAAATACACTTTCACACGCAGATTTTTCCGATTGTTCATTTATAGACGATTTAATTGGCCAATGTATTTCGAATATATGGCCTAGATAAGATACGGGAACGGAGAATGAAGTGGTCACGCTTCTGTTAAGCACTTTGTACCGGGCTGCTTGTCAATATTAACTAGAAATAATAAACGAACGATAATGATTACCGGTTATCTGCGGCTTTGCACACCGTTCAGGTCGAAGTTTAAAGGTGATTTTTGACCTATTCGGCAAAATTTCGCTTTTTTTTAGTTTACACTTTACTCGGTATCTGCAATTAAATATCGCAAATTCTTCGAACACAGCGCCGTCGTGATAGTGTTTGATCTGAGTAAATATACAATTTTTTTCAAATGTAATAACATTTATTAACAAAACTGGGAATAGAAAAATTGACAACTATAACTGCACTTGCCAAGTGCAAAAAATCATCTTTTGTTGGCAAGTTCGCTCCACTCTTTTTCTCCCATCAGGATTTGATGGAACTGAACAAAAACCAACATTTCCCAACCACTACAGTTCAAACTAATCACATGTCTATAATCACTTACGATTCAGAAAAAAGACAATCGCCAAGCCTGGCCAGTTTCATATCGTTTTGGCATAGAAGTATCGATTTTGGGATTAATACAGTTAAGATGAACGATCGACTGGCTCAACGAGGGCCCTAAACAATGAAAACCAGCGCCCTGATTGAGCCTTCGCCTTGCACATACACTTGTAGCACTAGATATATCACAGCACAGCAAAACAAAAAAAATATTTTGCGACATTCAGTCTCCACGGGTTCCTCAATTGTTTACCGGTTATTAAATAAAACAATTAATGCGGTGTTGAGAGACGTAGCGGAAACAAAACATGGCAATATTTAATTATATGGGATTTTTGGCTTTCTAGAAAATATAGGAAAAAAAACCGTTCGACAGTAATTCACAGACCTTCTATACCAACGTATCTAGAACGAGGTTACCACCAGCTGCATGACCCCTACTTGAAAAAAATTGCAATCACCACTACTAGCCTTCGTCAACTTTTGCCTCTTCCAGCTTCAGTTGTTTTTCGTCTTCTGGAGCTTCTTGCTGTTGCCGCTTCTCCATTTCCGTCTTGAACGTCTCGATTTCTTCAGAACTAAAACAGTTAATTGTTGGCTTACGCCATACTGCACCTGTTCGACATACCTGATTTGCAAAAAAAGAATGCCGTTGACCACGTTAAGCATATCGAGCACTGAACCCATAGAAGGCGGCTGAATCTGAATTGGTGGCAATGTGGCCCCATTCTTCCCCGTATAGATTTCATTCATTTTCTTTTGCAACACCACGGCTTGTTGCGTGAGATGCTTCAGGCACTCAGAAGATTCTTTGGTTTTTTCGTGATTTTCTCCCAGCTAGAAGAGAAAAAATTTATTAGCACCGTATGAAATATCTAAACAGTTGCTTTTTTGCCTGGGTCTTGTAGATGGTGAACGCTTCCTTTTCGTTGGTGAGTGCAGAGCGAAAGTTGCCCATGCAGCTCTGCGTCCTGGCTACCAAGTGATAGGTCACAGCCACCTTAAGAGATTTGGCTCCGTAGTACTTAATGTTGAGGGCCAAGGCCTTTTCTAGGAACTTTAACGATAGTTCGTATTCGCCAACGGCGTGCAGAATCAAACTGATATTGACCTGCAAAGAAAACCAACAATGCAATTTGCAGATTACCCAAAGTAGCATTGCAGAATGCCTAGGGATTTATGGGCTAGGACTTACGTCTAGTAAAGCCACCTCAGGATGATTTTCGCCGCATACTATTACTGCTAGATACCGGGCTCTGTACAGTAACTTCAATGCGGTGCTAATCTGACTATTGGCGAAACAGTACAACGCCAAGTGGGCCTGAAATGATGGATTATTCCGTATATTTGCAATCGAGGAAAGTGTATAAACCTACGTATTCGGTAATAGTGTACGGATGGTCGATGCCATTCACTCTTTCGGACATCAGCACAGCCTTCTGCTGGTAGGCCATCGCTTCCGCGTGCTCGCCCATCACATAGTTTAGTCGCGCGATCATTCTGAGACACTGAGCAATCTCTGGATGCATCGCGCCGTACACGTTGTTCAGGAGATTCAGAGCTTCATTGATTAACTCATACCCGTCCTTGAAGTAGCCTTGCTGAATCTTACTTTGCCCTGCAGCCAATGGAACAACCCTCATTTCCACACACTGCAAACGAGCGCCTCAACCTACCAGTGGTATAGAAGTTGTAAGCATCCGTCGCCCTTGGATTGATGTGCTTGACGATTGGGAATATATTCAGAATGTCCTCCTCGAAGAAGATGAGCTTGTTCTTTGAGTCCAAATTGTAGTCTCGCAGCAATACTTGCAAACCAGTCTTCAAGCAGAGCCCTCTCAAAAGAGACACTTTCTGCAACTTGTATGCCTCCGTGACAGTATCGATCTCATTGGAAACCAAATCGTAATCGTAGTACGCTTTGAGGTCTTGCTTGAGTTGGTTCCAAAGCGACTTGGGACTCAAATTTGCCCACTCGTTGTTGTCGTTGCCTATCAGTGGATTGACGCGACCTCGACGCTTGTTCCGCTTTTTGTTGTTTTTGCTCTGAAACTAAGAACGTTTTTTTGCTTTAGTGCTCGTACAGTCTGGAGCCAAGACATACCTCGTCAACATTTTGCAACGGATTTGGCACCACGCCGCCCGAATAGAAGAAACAGTTCAAAAAGTGAGCGATAGCTACTGATAGGTTCATCATCTCGCAGCCCTGCAGGTAGGCGGTGAAAAGGTGCTTGGCCGAACGAAGAATTAATTCTCCCACAGCAATGCTGTACAGGTATTCGAGCTGTCTAACTTTGGCCAGGAGGCTGGTAACTTTGCCCAGGTAACGCATGTTGATGCCGCGATTGTGCATGGCTTCAGACAGAGTCACGCCGTCCATTGGCGCCGAAGAGTGATCCAGACAGTCGCGGATCTAAAATAAAAAACTCCAAAACTCAAATACTCTTTCCGAACCGCGCGAAAAGAATGTTAGTGTAAAGGTACCTATTGTCAGGTTGAGGAGGCACTTACAAAAGTAGGAATTTGCACAGTCAAGAGAAACTCGGCCGCATCTTTCACCAGTTGCCTTTGCGTGGACAATGGAGGATCCAGACTCTCAGAGTGTTTGATACCAGGCGAGTACACGTCGGGATTGAACCGGATGTCGAATTCCCCATCCTTCAATGAACCGACAGCGATACAGGCAGTTTTTACGATGTTCTTTGTGCTCTCTTCTACTGAAATCAGAATGAAATGCAGTTACGTATAACAGACTTTGTTGATGGCTTACGCTCGATCTTCGTGCCATCGGTGATACTCTCCACAATTTTCTTCGCTTCATCATCCTCCATTTGGCTCTTTTTCTCTTCGCGCTCGTCCTTCTCTTTTTCCTCGTCCTTGCTGATCTCTTTCTCTACTTCCTTATTGTCCTTGTTGTCGCCTGTGTTTTCCTCAATGGCAGTTCTCTGTCCAATTTTATCTCCCGTCTTCTTCATGTTGAGCTGCTGCAGGTGGTATGCTGCGTACTTGATGAACATCATGTAACGAGCCTCGACAAAGCCATCAATCAGTTCTTGGCGCAGACAACAAAGCTTGTGTTTGTGTTCGATGGGAAAACCGTGCGCAATCACCTCTTTACTCAGCTCCTCTCCATCCACTGGAAGCACAAGAGATAAAATACATAGCTGGAAACCAACTGGAATAGTTAAATACGTTTGAGAAAGTTGACATCGGGTGGGAACGTTCGCAGTAGATCGAGGATGTAGTGCCGACCATCGTTCCCTATAATCCCCTTGCATTCAACGCTTGAGCACAGCTCGACGGCCTCGTCCTTTTCGTTCAGCACATGGTGGGGTAAGATTTTTAACTGCTGGCCCGCCTTGTTGAGCTACAAGTCAGAAACATAAAAACATTGAACGGCAATTAGGATTCGTATCTACCAAATCTAGATACTTCGGATGGGACAGAACGGTCTTTCCAAAGTCAATTGAGCCATACACCACTGACTGTTCCTGTTCACGCTCCAAGATCCCGGGAATAATCGACTGGGCTGTTACTCTGTACCCTCTATAATCCACTACGACTGTGCCCAGCGTGTACAAGCCAGGTAAATCCACCGCACTATATACGCGGACACCCTGTAGATCGTTACGCTGGAACGGACAAAAATGTCACGAACAGTGTTTTTTTGATGATTTTCTAGTGACTTACTGGTGCTACAAAAGCGGCGGCGTCGCCGCCAAGTTCTTTGTAATGATCTCGCACGTCGAATCCCAATGAGAAGAAAATGTTGTTCCATATGAACATTTGCATTTTCGCTTCCTCGCCAGGATTGATGGCCATCACGTTCCCATCGATTACTGCCATCGCTCCCCTAGTGGCTGCAGCCACAAAGTCGCTATGTACCTGAAGGAGATTAACCCTCGCATCAAAGCCTCTGTTTAAAATTTGAAGATTTACCTTAAATATAGCGCGTTCGCGCAAAAGTCTTTCGGGTAAGGTTTTCCTGGGCAACTCCCTGGTGGTTTGCAGCTCTTCGTTCCAGTCACGGGTCTGACCGGGTATGTGCTCCTCATAGCCCAATTTCGAAGACAAAGCTGCAATTCTCCAGCTTAGGCTCACTGAAAACTCACGAATCTACCATAACTTACAGTCTTCTGCGCGGATGGCATCGATGGAATGGTCCATGGTAGGTGCACACCACGCATAGAGCTGATATGGAGTCGCCACTCTCTCAAAAGGATGGCGTTGGTTGCGTTTCTTCTGCAAGGTGGCAAAGTTGCGCTTAAATTGAGGCGAAATTTGATTCAACAACTCAATGAGTGAATGGCACAAATGACTAGGCGATTGGGGCTTTGGGTTGAACTCTTCCGCTGTTGACCTGAACACAATGGTTGTTTTTTATGCGTCGAAGCGAGCACACACAACTGCCAACTCACTGATTGATGTAAAATCCTCTAGAGCAAGCCGATATGTGGTAATGCTTATCCTCTAAAGTGACCACATAGAGATACATCAGATCTCCGTGGAGTTTTCGGTAACCAGGAGGCGGATTCCAAGCAGACGTGGTCAAAACCTTCACACACTGCGGCGATTTCTGGTCCTTAAATTGGGGCTGTAACGCGGTGAGCGGTCGGTCTTTGCTCTCGGGCATAATATAATCCGGCGGGGTGCAATCGACGCTCTCCGGTCGCATCCGTTTCTTCTCTGCAACATCCAAATTCCAGCACTAAGGTCAACCGCAACCAAACACTCCCCTACCTAATATATCGCCCTGAGTGACGGTGTTGAGGAAGCTCAGAGAGTTGCACTCCATCCCATTGTAGGCATCGCCAGGATCAATTGACTTGAGCAAGTCGCGCACGTGTCTTACGTGAATTCTGGCCTCTCGCATCGTATAGGGCTCCTCCACCACCTTGATAATTGAGCCCTCTTTCAGCCCGTCAATGTTCTTCAGCTCGGCAAAGTTGTCCAGGCTGTTGCCGTCCAATTGCAAAGAGAAGCAAGTGCGGTGGCACGTATCCTCCCGGTCCATCAGCAACTGATGAATTTCTTGAACTAGTTCCATACTGGACACCTGCAAATACACAAAGCATAGATAATAGTTGGTAAAAGATGTCTGTTTCGGTTCTTGGGTTTAACGATCGATAGTTTAGCTTTAACAAGAATTTACAAAGTGGCTCAAAATCACTCATAACTATGGGAAACATTGGTGAAAGGTGAACTTACAGAAGTTATTTTTTGGCTTTGAGAAAATTAAGCCATATTTTCACATATGGCCTAAACGAAGAAGGATTAACGTTGCTTGACTAGTTAGTTACCTGGATATCAAAAGCTTCAACGCCGGGACTTTGGATCTTAATGGTAAACCCGACGTCTTGGATAAAGACGACTTTGTCCTCGCTTTCATCCTTCTCCTTTTCTTCCACATCCTTCGACAACTTATCTAAAACCAAAAAATAAAGACTCAAAGACAATTGTTGCTATTAGATTGAAGAATCTGAGTTCTCACCTTTGCTGTTCTCTGAATCCCTGTCCGCCTTAGGGTCATCGCCTTTATCTGCCAAACAATAAATGAAAATATTATAATTGTATTTAAGTCGGACCTTGGCTTAAAATTATCATGCAAAACCATATCTGGTGAACACTAGACCTGCAGCTCTTAAATGTGTTAAGGAACGGGACAATTCTAAGTAACTTCAGTGAGAAGATACGAAATGCTAAATCAAAACTTTGAAGAAGTGAAAAAAACGGTCTTTTGTAGGTCCAATGTGGTGGATTCCATATATTTTATCTTCCTTTCTAGATTTTCTAAATCGGAAGGAAGATAGCTGGTTCGAATATTTGTTAAATAAAGTTGGCCCTGTGCAATAAGATCTAGCTTATATTGAACGTCTGTATTTATTGAAAAGCTCTTTCGCGCCTCATTTCTTAATATCTATGACCCGGAAGTTCCATTAGTTGCCAATTGTAGGGCAAGAAACGAGTTGAAGCTCTGCAAGGCTTAGATGACTCAGAAAATTATTACAGTCTTGGATCACAATTTCTAGATAAGGAAAGGTAAGTCTTATTGAGACACTTTTACCAATTTATTTCATTCCAATCATACAGTTCGTTTGTTGAATTGGTTACTCAAATACTTTTTCTAACATTTTCTGATGTCCCATCGATCGCCAGTTAAATTCCCGATAGGTTAGCGTTGTTTCACATAATGTAGGTCTATTAACTCCAAAGTTCTCATTGATCGCAACACTAAATGTAAATAAACGCCCGTATAATATGAAAATTGCAACCAAATGCATTAAAACAATGCAGCCTTGGTTAAATAAATAAGTCAAGCTGGGTGCACCCAAGGAATGTTTTGATTATTTGCTTTGAAATAAGCCTGGCTAAACCATCACTTCTTATCAGGCAGCGATAAGAACTTCGTCCCCAGTTCACAGCGAAGAAGATTACATTTAACATTTAACATTAATCAATTTGTGCTGAGGTTATCTCACTGGATTATGTAACGAATGTCCAGAGATGAAAATTCAGCTGGAAATTGCTCACCATTCAAAGGCTCGATGTCCTGGACACCTTTAACACTCTTCTTGAGGGTTTTCTCTAAAAGGGCTTGCTCGCCCCCACTTTGCACCTCAGTTTCCACTGTTCCTGGGGCCATCGCGATCCAACTGGAATTAGGCCTGCCGTGATCCAATAATGAAGCCGGAGGTGAAGGCTTTGCTCTGCCGAATTGGAGCAATTAATGGAGAAAACCTGCACTGTGTAGATTCCGGGGAATTTGGACCAAGGCACGTGTTTTCCAGACAAGCACCCCCACTCACGTCAATTTGGTTTAAAGCACCAAAGCAACATTGTCAAGTCGGTTTAGACTAAAGGTCGTTCGGTGATAACTGGCCACTGGTTTGCAAATATAGCAACATTTACTCTCTTTAAAAAAATTATAACACATTTGACAAAGCCTGGATAAGCTAGCTGATCATGAGAAAATAAAATCCTGCCTTCAGACAATTTTTAAATAAAATTTAGCCATCACTTTTGGGACGTAATGGACAACTCTGTAGCCAGATTGGAGCGATTCAGATCCGAACGCTCTGTTTCAACTTTCAAACATCACTGTCACCATCTCACGTCAGTCATATCGCCCTTTGTTTTTTTCTGGAAATCTTCCTGGTATTTTCCAAGCAGTGAAGCTGCTTCCATTAAATTTCCATTATCCGCTCGTGAAATTCCCCATGTGTGTTGGCCCTCGGCGGGGATGACAGATATGTCTCCATCAGAAGTACGAACTACCCTTGTAGCTGCTACAAGCAACTACCCTTGTAATGATCATTGCATTTTTAGAGACGTTTGCAAAAGGAGCTCATGTCCCTGATCAAGGACCCGCCTCCGGGCGTATCAGTGGATGCCGAACAGGCTGAGCAAAACCTACTACAGTAAGTACATTGTCGAGCCTTGGACTCGGTTCAAAGCTCCGCAAAAGCTTCAAGATTGAAGAGCTGGTTGTGAGAACTTATTTGGATGTAGGCCTGCTGGGCTGGGGTCTTAAGCAACACATTTTCTCACGTGCCTTTAAGCACAAGGCCTGGTGGATAAAATTATCATTGTTTCAGATGGACTATTCACATGGAAGGGGCCTTGGGCACTTTGTATGAAGGCGAACAGTTCCAGTTACAGTTCAAATTTAGCAATAAATACCCGTTTGATTCGCCAGAGGTATTTTTTCGAATCAAGTCAGTCTTTCAGGTAACACGGGCATAATTCCAGGTTACCTTTGTGGGAAGCAACATTCCCATCCATCCCCATGTGTACAGCAACGGTCACATCTGTTTATCTATATTGACTGATGATTGGTCTCCTGCTCTTTCGGTGCAGTCGGTTTGTCTATCTATTGTATCTATGCTCAGTAGCTGTAAGGACAAGGTAAGTGGTTAGATTGGAAAGAATGCGGCCAATAACGAACAGGGGCACTTTTTCAGCAACGTCCGCCGGACAATACGTTTTATGTGAAGACCTGCAGCAAAAACCCCAAGAAAACCAAGTGGTGGTATCACGGTAAGTTCAGCAGAGTTTTTTTTTATTGGTTGTGCTGGAGTTTGTTTTTCAGATGACTCTGTCTGAACGGTTCAATACTTGTGATTTTAGGACCCATTCTATATATGTATAATTATTGCTATTGCTGGTGTATTTTATGAATTAGTACTTATTTTATATTCACCATTTCTACCCCTTGCAATAGATCTGAAGTCTATGTATTTATTTGGCAATTAGTCTGTGATAAGCTGAATTATTCATTCGAGGAAATTCCTACACTAATTTCGACCAAAAAATGTTACTTGCTGCCAAACCCTGCTGATTTTCATTATTTTATTATTGGTTGACATGCGGGCTTTAAGCGTGTATTAGAGCTGATCGGACGGATGCAGAAGCACCTGGAACACTGTTTTAAATACTTGTCAAATATATGTTTTATTATATCAGCGTGTCTTTTTGCTTATTTGCCACTTTATCTGCAACTCAATTAACTTTAATTTATTCGAAAAAGCTGCTCATATTGCGAAAACCAATTTAACCATTGAAACGATCGCACCTGTGTGCTAACGAATTTCAACACAATTTACTCGTGTGGTTGTTCAAACTCGTTTTTGTGGGCTTATTACACATTACTATACTAAACACCGGGTGTCCAGTTGCACTTTGACCGTAGGAAATTCACATGTAACATCTTTTTAGGGGTAAAATGTAAGCCTGATGGACGAAGCAATTTGGGTAAAGCTGTTTAGAGCACGCGGATTTTATCATTTTGATGCAGCTGCAAACATTGGAGTTGGACACAGACGGTTTTTAAGAAACAAATAGCGGGCGGTCTAAACTGGCGGGTTTGCTAATGATTGGCGTAGTTCATGGAACGAATTCAATACGTTTAACAAAATATAACGCAATTTAAGCTTGTATTTGGCCCTCCGCAGGCTCAGATTATTTGTCTGCGCCTGGATATCGTTTCCGAACTTCTGCCTCAAGTGTGAGGATTACGGATTTATGATTGTAACGCGCAGTTCATAATCTGGAGAGTTTAAACAAGCGGCTTTTGGCGGTTTGACGAGCGTCTCAAATTGTCCATGTGTGTGGAAAATTTGCATAAATTAGCGCTAAACTTGTTAAGCACGATTTGTCGGAATCTGTGCGAGGGTTTTAATGAGTTTACGTGCGTCATTTTGTGGAAAGCTTTGTTAAACCAGTAAACTCAACAACAGTTCTTCATTAGAACTTTTCGGATTAATCCTAAAGGCTTGAGCTGGACTAACTGGCGTAATAAACCATGAGACGTTTTCCTCCATGGATTCTTTGTGAGCGTATCCTCAAGGTCTATGGCTTCGCTTTTGGGCAATTTGGACACAAAGGAAGCAATTTGCTTACACGAAAACCGCATAATTGCGAATAATCATCTGCATCCGACAATAATATATGGACAATATTTCTTGACATCGTTTTGCTAATTTCGCTTGCATGCACTTTATGAGTATACTGGGTGGAAAGACCCAACTTGATGCTTTTTTTAGACCTTGCTTACTCTAAATGGCGCCTTTGAACTAATTCTGTCCTGATACTTTCCGCCTTGAATTGAAAAAAAAACCTAATTCAACAGACGCGTTTGTGGCGCAGGCAAAAGGCCTCAACCAGTCCATTCAGGGACTAGCTGCTAATTTCCATTAAGAAAAAGCAACATAAAAGTGAAATTAATGCAGTAAATTTTAATAGCGCTTGTTGCATCTAGAGGCAAGGATATCCTTGACTTTAAACTTGCACTGAACCAGCGTCACTGGGGAGGGGAAATTGAAAAATAGTGAAGACACTTAAAAGAGGACGATGTCTTTTTCTAAGCAGCAGAAGATTGAAGCACTTGCGCTTGAATTTGAAGAAAAATGATTGCTACGTTTGTTGTTGCCGCTGCCTTATTGGCGCTCGCTCCCAGTGCAGATGCTGCCAAACTACGTAAGTCCCATTGATATTTTCAAATAAATATTATATTATACAAATATAAATATAATATGAAAAATGATAATAAATATAAATATTATATTTCAAAATAAATAAATGATACTAATAAAATGCGGTGCATTTTGACGCGTTACTGTATGCACGTAACTAATCGGGTACCGGTTTAATTAATTAATGTCGATTTGGTTCTCTATCAATTCTTTCGCTGCTTGTAAAATTATTAACTACCTACAAGAAGCGCAAAATAATTTCTTGTTGGCCTTTCAAAAGCCAACTAGACTAAGTTGCATTCTGCCTGGAGTGTTCTTTCTGGCTTATCGCATGTTAAATGAGACGTTCCATCTTCGGCTGCTCCATCTAATTGAAGTTCTTATTGTTCAGCCAACACTTGGGGAAGATGCCGCAAATCAGACAAGGACTTTGCGGAATGCATCAGAAAAAATGTGGAGTTGGCCATCAACAGTCTGAACAAACGTAAGTAGCCCGAGCGCACTGCGCGAATAGTTTTTTATTCCTTAAAACTCACGAATGAATCCTTTAGTTTTTTTGTCAATATTTTTGGGTTAGGCTGTATTAGTTTATTTAGTTAAAGACGGTTTCTCTGAATTTGTTTGAATGCAGTCGGTCTCACAGTGTGTCAGCACAAGCCATTAGCAAGCAGAGCTATGGTGAAAGAGGTCAGCCTTCGGCCTCAGATGAGCATGCATTATACTTATTGATGATAACTTTAATAGGCACGGGTTTCTTAAGCATCTCAGGTCAAGTTCGGTCACTACTGAAGCTTTTCTTCCACCATAGAAACTAATCGCCTTGTTTGGATTGTTGGGCAACTAAATCATTGCACAACCAGAATAAGCGAAGGGAACTGCAATTATTATTTAGTTTGTTTGAAGCAAATATTCGACTTTCTTAGCCACGCCGGAATTGGGATTATCGACCTTCGACCCTCTGGACATCCCCGAATTGTACATCGGAGCCGGAAAAGGCCCTGTTAATGTCGCTCAACACTTCAAGAACGTTAAATTATACGGGCTCACCAACGCTCAAGTGATCAAATCAAAGTAAACGTAAAACATTGGCTAGGCCTCCTAAACTAGCCCCATTCTTGTAGTATGGACTGGGACAAAAAAATGTTAATATCCGAGTCTATTAATCCCAACTTAAGGCTGCAGGGCGATTACACGATGAAGGGGCGCATTTTGTTGCTGCCCATAGTGGGAGACGGGCCTTGCAACGTCACTCTGCGTAAGTAAACCCCTAACGAGCCTTCATGAAGGATTAAAGGCCCATTTTAGTCAACATGAAAATCACGCACTTTATGAGCTTCGACTACATCGAGCGCAGAGGAAAAACCTACATGAAGGTGACCGATTTTCGCGTTACTATGAACCCAGAAAAAGTGATTTTCAAGTTCGACAACTTATTTAATGGGGACAAGGAACTGGGGGACAACATCAACCAAGTGAGTACCCGCATTCGTTTGCTTGCGAGCACGGATTCTAACAATTCTGCAACAAATATTGCAGGTTTTGAACGAGAACAGCGCCGAAGTGTTTGAGGATGTGCGCGACGGTTACGAGAAGAGCTTTGGATTGATCTTCAAGGATCTGGCAAACAGGGTGTTGCCCAAAGTGGCCGTTAAAGACATATTTCTCGACTAGATTCGTTCGATAGTTTTACAGCGATAGACTGAGCTTCATTAAATTCAATAAAAAAACCCATGTCCAGATACAACTGTTATTGTAGATAAAACATTAACATTCCACTTCCAAATCACCAGCGGTCTTCAAAATCGCTGAAATCGAAATCCTGTCGTTCTTCAGTTGTAATCATATCGATAATTAGCCTGAAAATGCGTTCAACAGCTGACTATTTACAGCGCAATGCACTGGCAACTTACCTCAACACTTTGGTATCGTAACTGTCCAGATTCCACTTCATGAATCCCGGATGCGACACATACCATTCCAGGATTTGGTTTAATTGTTCCACCAGATTGTTCAAAACCAGCGCTGTGGACGGCGAACATCTAAAACGAATGTTGTTGTTCACAGACACGCCGGTGAAAGAATCCGCATTGTCGTTTCTGGTGTGGATCCTGCAAACATCAACCAGATTCAATTGCTTGAGAAAAACAAAACAAAACGGTTACTCACTTGAACTGATCTCCAAAGAAAACGAGCGACAAAGGGCAGATCACGGAAGCATCATAAACAAATATCTTAGACGTCTTTAGTCTCAAATAATAAACAATAAGCGGCGACGGGAACAAATTGTTTTGAGCCAGAACTGACTTCTTATGCAGAATCATTTTCTCATGTGTTCCCGATCTGGAGTGCAAATGCACTTCCCTAGGATAAGTTTTCCTATGGAAAGCATCGTCAATTTAATAAAACTCTCTAATCTCGCAAATCTACTCACCCGATAACCGCAACATTGGGGTACAATCCTGCAGCAATGATTGCCTTAACAATGCAAACATTCTCGCTGTTTATGTTGTGGGTAGCACTTTGTGGGTCCGGATCACTGATAAGTTTCATATCGAATAGGTCTTGAGCGAATTGCTTGCGAAGCTGTACAAGCTGACGAAGAATGGGACCGCTCAAATGGTACTCGCGACAGAACTGGTTCTGCTCCCGAGCCTCTTCAAAGCCTCGTATCTGAAAAACAAACCATGAGAATGTCTTAAAGGCAAACATAAATCTAAATAGTCCTTACGGCGTAGTGTAGGCAAAGGTGATCGCTGTGGGTTCCTTGAGCCAATTTCTGCCTTTTCCTGTCCGCATCAAACTCCTCTTCCATAATGCTCAATTGGTAGGCGTCCTTAAAGCCTGAAATTTTTTTTAAATCAACCTTCTACCACTAGCCCAAAGTGAAATTCGAGTACCTAATGAGGCCGCCACCGACAGAATCGGATCAATACAGCTAAATATGGTGGCCAATATTAACATCTTTGAGCACTGCGCCGGCATGGGCAGCTTAGCCATGTGGTAGCCAAGAGGAGTGAGTGCTTCCTCCGAATTGAGCGCTCCGAGTCGCGTTAGCACTTGCAGAGAGGATTTAACGGTTTCAGCTTCAGGCGGATCCATCAATTTTGCCAGAAAAGACTCCGCATCGCCCAGCTGCAACTTCATCGTGCCAGCAATCGACTACTACTGAGTGAGTGAACATACCTGCATCATCTTCAATAACAAAATTACGTCTTCAAGCCGTTTTCTTAATACTTCCGGCTTGAGAAATTTGTCCAGAAGCTGGTATCGCAAACTCGTTATCATGTGATAACAAACGCCCGGTCGCACACGTCCAGCTCGACCCCTTCTCTGAGCAGCATTCGCTTGAGAAACCTATGACAAATTTAGCAAGTGAATGCTTTTGCAGTTGAATGAATTGTGGATTTCCCACCAATTCAGGCTTCAGAGTTTCAATTCCCGTGGCCGGATCCAGGTTGCTCACTTTAATGTAACCGGAATCGATTACGGTTGTAACATCATCAATGGTTATCGAAGTCTCCGCTATATTTGTGGCTATGATGATTTTGGTGATGCCTAAACAAAACTCCCCCTCAAATCATCCCCATCGTCTTGACACCTGGCCATTACCTTGAGGAGGCGGATCAAAGATCCGCTTCTGATCGACTGTTGGCAGTTGGGAATGCAAAGGAATGATCAGGTACCTACGAGGGGGAAACTGGTGCGAATCTGTGAGCAGGTTGCAGAGTTTGTTGATCTCGCCAAACCCAGGCAGGAACACCAAAATGGCCCCATCGCTATGGCCCTTAATGAATGCGATTATTTCGTTTCAACACTGGAGGAAGATTTTCCTTACCTTCCGGCAAATAGTCCTCAACAGCTCGAACACTAAATTAACGTCTAACTGCTCACTTTCCATCTTGATCAGCTGGTTCAGCACGTCCCTAGAAAACCCGACTTGATCAGTGATTGATTATCCAAAGCTGTATTTCCACAGTTAAGCTGTAAGGGTTTCCTGGGTTTCAGCCATTTATTACTACATTTACACTAAGTTCATCAATTTTAAAAGGTTTCGTTTTTTCACCATCCTCAGTTAATCTAAAACAAACAAATGCTAACAAGTTGTGCACTTAATCCATTTGTGGGTCGATTTCATCAGTTTTAGGTTTAAATTTGGTGAATCATGGTTGTTTGTATGAAATTTACTGGGATGACGGAAAAACGACGAAGCGCCTTGACTGAATAAATGACTGAAACCCAGGAAAATGTTGAAAAGCGAGAAGAATCCGTAAGCACCTGCTGTACTTATTTTTAGCCTCCAATTGTCGAATGAATGGCTGAACAAATTCCGTAAATTCCCTATTCTTGTAGGCATCCCGCTTTACCACCCAGATTGGAGTGGTTTTTTTTGCTTGATAGCCTGTAATCTGCAGAACGTCTTCCAAAAAGAACTCCTGGACATCGTGGGTGAAGCCTGGAATGTTAATAGCAGGCGCGCCGTTGTAATACCGCGAAAAAGCGTCCGCGTTTAAAGTGGCGCTCATCAGCACAATCTGGAAATTATTTGATTGTACTTGCCTCCAAGTAGCGTCACTGAAGTACCATACCTTTATATCAGAATTGTACTGAACGACGTCCTTTAGGACGGTGATAAGAAAATCGGACGTAATATCTCGCTCGTGGATTTCGTCAAGGATCAGATGCGAGACTTGGCGCAACGCCGGCTCACTTTCCATATATCGCAATACAACTCCAGTCGTGCAGAACAATATTGAGCCCCTCTCTCGCGGTAAAGTCCTAGAAGACGCTTGCACCAATTAAATCATGTCACGTCATAAAAGGCTCTTACTTTTCCAGTCTGATCTGAAAGCCAACGCTATTTCCAAGTTTTTCATCCCGTTCGCAGGCTACTCTTTCTGCTACAGCAATGGCACTAATCCGTCGAGGCTGAGTGCAGATAATTTTACACTCAGAGCCTTTGCTCTTTGCGATGAAATCATCCAGAATGAATTGTGAAACTTGGGTTGTTTTTCCACACCCTGTCAAGCGAGAGATTTGACTGTATGAATGAATATTCGAAAGATAAACCCAGTTGATTCACACGCACCAGTTTCGCCGCTGATAACTGTTATCTGGTTGTTTTCAATCAAGTCCAATATTTTTTGCCTCATGTGCATGGAAGGCAACATTTGGCGGATCTTTTGCATTTTCTGATACGAGCTAGAGGCTGATTTAGCTTGCAATTCTGTCAGCAATCGCTGGTCCAATTTGTCGCATTTTCCTTGAAATCTACAAAATGACGCATGAATGAAGCCAAACTCATATCCAGTTTCTCACCTAATGCCTGGGTTTTCCTTCAATTTTTCCATAATGCTACCGGTGATGTGTTGTTGAAACTCATCCATAAAGTCGGTTTCCGGTAGGTGTTTACAGCTTCTGCTTTTCTCCAAAAACCTTTCCAGAAAGGCGTGGACCCTTTGATCGAGAATCTCAGCTATACGAGTTTTCTTCTGTTCAGAGATCAATATGCTGCCCAACTGGAATTTAACCGGTTACTTTGGACTGCGAGACTCAACAATCCCAATTTAACCACGCACCGGTTTTTTTTGCTCACGCTCTATTTGGTTCCGTAATTCCTGCTCATGTTTGTCCTTTTTCTCCGCCTGGTACTGCCGCCTTAAATCATTCCTTTGCTCGCCACTCATTGAAGCCTCTCCCAGTTCCATCTGGGTCCTATTTAGACGCCGATTCTCCAGCTCGTTTCGAGATTTGTTTCTCATCGCATACCTACGGGAGGGTCAAATATAGAAAAAAATCACGTTATTATTTTGCTTTTTAGTAGGTACCACTTCCCAATCTGCTGGCCCTTGAGGTCTTTAGGATGACCCCCGCTTCCTGACGGGCCTGGTCGGAACGGTCGTCTCCGTCGCATAGTGGTGATTTCAGGCGCCTGCTGTAATATGCAATACTACAAACTCCATGCCTATTTATGCGGTTCTAGAAGCTAACTATTCTTGATACTTAAATCCTAGACATGCTGTAGGGTCAGATCAAGATTTATGCAGTTGTTTTAATCAGTTTAGGGTCGCCAGAGGTGCGGATCAATCCGGACAGTTGTTTATTTTTAAAAAACTTCCGGCCTATGTTTATGGCCCATGAAAATATCGTGTTTTATTTTTGCCACCATCTGTTGACCGAAAAACCCACACACCTAAATAGGCGTCTTTTACTGATTATCATCACGGTCACTAATTAACCACATCATAAAAAGATGTATCAGAAATGGTTAACAACAATGATCACAATCCGCTTACTCACCAAAAATGAGCAAAATACTCGAATGCAACTATTTCCGAAGAAATGTGTTCACAATTACAAAAATACACTGAATTTATATTCGCAATCCGATCTCACAAAGCCAAGGTGCCAATATTTTCACTTATTGCTGCTCAGTGCACCAAACAAAAAAATAGTCTGCATTTATCTTCTATGAATTTATGGATAGCAAAAAGAGCTGTTCAAAGATTTTGTGCTTTGGCCACAAAAATTTGCTCTGATAAACTTTTGCTTGTAATCTTTTAACAAAGCACCGAAAAGTACCTGTAAAGTGTATAGTATAAGTTTTGAATGTAAAAATCTATTTTTTTACTTACATGAAAATTCTAATCATAAATCAGTACTAGATAATGACACCATTGTTAGCTTGCTTAAAAACACTAGGTATGACGGTCGGATTTTCTTCAAGGCTTAACTGGGGCCATACGTTTTCGTCTAGTAAGCCTAAATCAGTTGGATTATTCGCTTTCTTATGGTAAAAATAGCATGGAAAGGAATTTGGAAAATATTTGCTATTTTTGAAAAACATCAACTTAAGTATATTTATTTGGCAAAAAATGAAATTTACGCATGTCTGGTCTTTGGAATGCATAGCTTTCGACGCAAGAAGTTCCTTACCATGTACCTTATATCTAAAAACTTTCAGTGTATCCTAAGATCGGGGTAGCTTAAAATAGGACTAAATGTTCGGAACCTCTTTTGGGGTAGTTGGGTACTTACCCGAAAAACACAGTTGAACACTTAAACTTCACGGGACAACAAATTGCCCAATTTACTTACACATAAGTAACAATGTTTATTTTAATTCGAACAGATGGTTGCCTTTAGGTTGACATATTTCGCGAATAAAAGCTAGGTTAGTAGCAAAGGAATGCCACTCTTCATAAAATCTTGGAAATGGCCTGATGATGACTGAAAATCGAATCCTTTTCCAGTGTGAATACATTTTGCCCTATAAAATAGATGCTAAAGCGACTCTCTTAATTTATTAGCTTATAAAGCCTGGACAAATTTTGCGTATTGTGAGTTGTCTATAAGTCTATATTACAGACGCAACTAATAGTAGATATCGTTTCGAGCGAGCACGCACTAAGTTAAAAGGTGGCAGCACCAGGTTTTTGCTGTAAATTTTTGCAATCTGAAGGCTTTAGAATAAAATACCATATACAGGGTGTTATTCGTAAACCGTCGTCGGTTAGTCGATTAAAGTCGGGCAAAGTCATGGGCGGATCCAGCTTTAAAGTCAGGGGGGGGGTATGTAAAAAAAATACAGTCTTCTGTTATCTATGAAATTAGAAAAATGATCGTCGTTTTGTGCAAGGGTGGCGCAAGATTATTATTATTATTATTAGATAACTAAATGGCCTTTATTCAAAGTTTCTCAAGAACCATTCGAGCCACAGAATTCGTTTTGGCATCGTTGGATAGAGAATTGAAAAGTCGATTCAGTCGTAACAACGTTAGTGAGGTAATTCGAGTCGTTTTGACCCAGAAAGCGAAATTTGAATATCAAACACTTAGGTGCAAGATTATGCCAAAATTTCATGTTTTCCGTCCCGTTTTTGCTCATTTCTCGGAGGCAAAA